TCTCTCTCTCTCTCTCTCTGTCTTTCTCTGTTTCTCCTGAACTTCATTCCCAGTGCATGCTTCAGGATCTATTTTACTTCTTGAATTAGCCCCAAATCTTCCTGCTTGCTTTTTCCACTCCTGAGCCTCTTCCCGTTGGAGACGCTGGCTGCGGAGTACGAGCCACAGGGTGGCACTTGCCATCACAGCCATGGCATCTTCCCAAGAGGTTTCCAGGGGTAAAAATATCTCATCACACCAGCATAAGCCACATAGTCTGATTCTCCAGTGCCAGCATACTTCAGGACACAGAATCAAAGGAGCTGGCCCAAGAACCCACCTCTGGACCCCCAAAGATAGGGAGCTGGTGGGATGAGAGTGTGGGGGACCCTTGTTTCTATCTCAGAACAACCGCTGGCTCTGTTCTACCTGACCTTTCAAGCTAATCCCCAGGGCAGCTGTCGGCGGAATCTTTCCAGAATGCTGGTGCTGAGTGGAGCCCAAGCATGTGACCCTTTCTATCTCCTCCTGAGTTCTCAGCCGAGGTCATTTTCATTCCTCCACCGGTCCCCCTGCAAGGTGCCAAGTGCTAATTGTTCCATGCATAAAGAGAAAACATATTTGATCACGTCATACAATATGACAATGGCAAAAACTGGCCATGACATCATCTGCGTCATCTGGAGATAGAAAAAGCAAATATTTTTGCTTCAACTTTTCCTGCTTACACTTATAGACAAAAATACAGTAGGAACTGCCTCTGCAGAAAATATATGCCAAAAGCCCAAAATTTAAATGGAATATCTCCATTTAAATCCTGTGACTCATGGGCAACTCCAGACTAACATGACACCTTGAGTGACAAGGTGAAGTTATCTAGGCGGCTTGATACAGAAAAGCGTTACTGGTATTGAGCCAGGCAGAATAATTGGATTCGTATGAAAATGGACATTTGTTTCCTAACAGGCTCATTACTTTGTTTTCACTCATCATGGACATGAGATAATTTCACATTTGCTTCAGTTCTTACAGACTGTCCTACTAAGATTTAGAAAAAGCTTCTAAGTTACACACAGATAACAGCTGCCCACACCTTCTCCCCAAACTACCACTGATTTTCAATCCAGATGTAAATGTAAAAGCAAAGCCAAGAAAACCAGGAAATAACTCCAGCTCTTTATGATGCGTTTCTGGTGGTACTATTTATGTGAATTTTCAGAACTTTTTTTTTTTTTTTTTTTTT